TTATTTTTGCTTCCAAATTCATCTTAGGAGAACACAAATCAGATATTTATAGCTATTCAATATTTTTGCCTAAGATATTATGCGTATGAGTGTTCTATCTAGAAAGGATATGCAGACATAAACATGAAACTCCAATCTAGCTTTCCAAACATTACATACCTATTATAAATTATATGACAAATATGGAGAAATATCTTAGTAATATTGTTTTAGTTTGGTCCCCAGGTCTGATGGCAGTTGTATGCAGTGGAGCCCACAGAGATGGGATGGAAAGTATAGGAGAGTTAAGTTTTTTGGCTGGAAAAGTGGCCCACAGTCAAGGAGAAAAGCACTTAACCTGTGCACATTAATGCTGTGTATTTAGTAACTTTTTACACAAACAGTTATTTTTGCACTTTACTTTTTATTAGGCTTCTATTATGCACGTTATTTTTCCACAAAGTTGTCTAAATGCAGACTCTTACCCCTAACTATGTTGCCCTTTGCCAGGAATGGTCCTCCAAATACACATTCTCTTCCACTGTGAGTAATTTCAAGACACTGAGAAAAAATTCTATATTGATCCAAGTTAAAATATGTCTTAAGGTTTTAAATAATCAGAAGAAAAATTTCCAAGCTTCATTGCACTGGAGAAATTCACAGTGGAAAAATCACTCAAATTTGATGGTAAAAGAGACAGCCAATATTTTGGTGAAGTATTTGCCCCAGATAAAGTAAAGTAGTAACCTTATTAAGGTATGATAAGCTCATAGAAATCATATGAAGTACAAAAACATTATCATATAAATTAATATTGAAGGCTAACCATAAAAATTAATAAAAGCCCCAAATGCTGAAATTAATGAGTAAAATTGTTAGTAATCACAAATATGAAATAACATACTGTTTTGTGTATCTACATTTAAGAGAGTTCAAAATGACTGGCACTATATACTTTGATTGTGTCAGGAAAAATAATATACAGTTTTTCTGGAAGTCAACTTAATGTTATGTTTTCAGGAGTCTTAAAAACGTTCTCCACTTTTACTTTGTAAGTCCTACTTTAAAAATTTTACTTTGCAAGTCCTATTTTTTTAAAAATGTGTTGAAGGCATACAAAGAGATGTGGGTAAAATTTTCATAGTAATGTTTGTTTTATAGCTGAGAAGAAGGAAAG